GGTGACCGGAGGGTTTATTATTATTAAAAAAATTTATTATTAAATAACCCCAACAAAAAAAAACAAATAATTTTAGTACATGTTATTATGTGTCAGAAGAGGGCTTAGGAAATAATAATACCAAAAAAAAAAATTGACCAAAAGGGCACTTGGGGGCAAGAAGCAAAAGGGGCAGGTGCTCAAGCCCCCCCAGCCCCCCCTCTGCACGTGCCTGAGGGCCACTGAAAAAAAATATGACTTTAATCTCAGATTGCTTCGTAAAAAGGCAGAATTCAGACTTTTTACTCTCAAAATTGTGTATTATTATTGGTTTTAGTCTGTAAAAATGGTTATCAATTATTGATACAAAACCAAAAAAAGCTCAAGTCTTGTGCAGTGTCTTTGCCTTATATATTATCTGAAAACACACTATATTTTGGTTCTGATCTAATTAGTGCCGCTTGATCTTCATGAAATATGACAGATTATGGTCCTTGACCAAACCAAAACTAGTGATATTCTACCCATAAATGTTATACAAAGGAGTTTCCTTACATTACCTGTTTTGACAGGAAATTGTCAAAACAGGCATAAATCAACATAAGATTAATATGAAATGTTGCACAGTAGACGCTACCTGTCTCAGGCAATCGTTTGGCAAGAGGCAAGGTACATCCTGAACAGGTCACCATCCATCACAAGGCAACATAAAGACACAACGAGGAAACACCAGAGATAAATATAAACAAAATAGAGGGGTAGGCAGGAGGAGTTAAAACAAACACAAGATTTAAAAAGTTTAACCATGAGACAAATAAATGCAAATAAAAACATTTATTTAATGTATTTATAAGAAATGATAAGACAGACTTTATAGTTTCCTGATTTTAGAAAATATTGTGCAGCAGCAACATGACATACAGAAAATCAATATGCTACAAAATAAAAATAAAAATAAAATGTATATTTCAATGCCATAAATGTAGAAAAGTAATAGTTACAAATGTTCTAACATAATTCTAACAATAAAATAGACGTATAGTATTGTTTAAGCTCAAACAAACAAATAAGTAAAATAAAGATGCATTAAAAGCTATCTGGATAAATTTTCTAAAAATTCATAAGCAAATAAGAAAAATTATTTAAAAATTATTGAAGTAAAAGTGAAACTACCGAAGTTCATGTGAAAGCCAGACTAAACATAAAATATTTTAACTTTGAATACTGTATTTGGAGAAAATTCTCCTCGCTTTAAAATTTCTACGGAGGCTAACGTTAGGTTCTAAAAACTACAATTCCCAGCATTAAAGTGCTAATTATGATTGACAGTCGCTGTGTCCAATCACAGGAGCCGAAGCGCACACGCTATCACAGTGGGCGGGGCTTTACAGCACAGGAACAGCGGCGAACGGCGGGTAAACGTCGCTTTACACGCTTTTGAAGCCATATTTATATGGCGATTTATTTGATTTAGAATTTTTAAAGCTACGCTTGCTGGCAAAAGACTGCCATTAAGGATAAACCGGTGCGTTAACTACGAGGGAAGAGCACACCACGGTCTGTTCAGCGACAGTAAATGAGAGGTAAGGGTAAAGAAGGGCCCGCCGTCATGGCCGTAGAGCTGCGGAGAAAAGTGGCTAGCGCCGCCTGACGGACCGCCCGACGAACCGGGCCTCCGCTTTCAGGAAACCGCGGTGCGGAGAAAGGTCTGCAGCCTCCAAAGGAGCGCCGCCAACAGCTCTCCATACGCCATCACACATTGTAAACAAAGATAGGAGTTTGTTTTTGGAAGCAGGTGAAGAATTTGGGGGGTTTTAGTTGATCGAGGTGGTAATGTTAGCATCAGAGGCCCTTCATTCAGCTAACGGCCGTGTGTTTGTTCCCGCACTTCTTTCACCATGCCTCCATCAATCCTACAGGGACTGTTGTTTATTGATGGAGTATTTCACTTTATAAGTTAATTATAAACACAAAGTCACAGCTTAGGAGGTAAATTGTGCTTTTTAAAAAGGGATTTAATTTGTTTTTTGTTGTCGGTTCTCGCAGGTGTGCCCCAAACCCGAGGTTTCTCTAGATGCCAAGAAGTTGCCTTCATTAACAAGTCCGGGCTGTGACGTTTCACTATCAGTCGGCCCTTGAGACAACTTCCCATGATAAACTCACAGGCATAACAAGTCATCACCCACGCTGACACTCTGCCATGATGGCAGAAGGGGGCCAGGAGGAGGCAGAGGACATGTATGTGGAGCACCAGTACATGTGCAGCGAGTGCCAGCAGCTCTTCGGCACCCTGGAGGAGGTTCTGATCCACCAGCAGATCCACACGGCCCAGGAAAACGATGCTGAGGCCGCAGGCTTCGGCCAGGGTCAGCACTACCAGTGTCTGGAGTGTGGGAGCCTCCTTGTGAATGCAGAGGAGCTGCTGCAGCACCAGGAGATGCACATGAGAGAGGCTGGGATGGAGGTCGAGCAACAAGGTGATTTAAAAGCCAATGTTACAGGAAATGTAGCACCTTGATAAATTATTAAAAACCCTGCAGCATTTTATTTTTTATTGCTTTCCAACCATAAGTGTATTTTACTATGACCAGATTTTTATGCAAAATATTACTATAATTTTTTCCCATTAGTCGTTGCGATAAACAATAATATTACTATTTTCTAACTTTTTTCAAGTAATTTAATGATAATGCCATAATAGTGCAAGTTCACCGACTCAAACACTTAACACTGGAACTGATATGTTTGTCATTTTAGCTGCTCTCTCTTATATGTCTGTTCCGTTTCCTCTTCTTCTTCTCTCCCATTTCATAACAGAGGGGTTAACGGGTAAAAATATTTGTAAACACAGAAAACTATTCAGGAAGAAATGGTACCAATAGTGACATTAACTATAGACATTAATAACCTGTTGTATCTTCTTCTCTATTGGTGCCTACTGCTTTCTCTACTCCAATCCTTCTCAGTTGTTTCTTTCTCATTAGCAGCTTTTTTGAAATAATGAAATTCTTAAATGGTTCAGTTGCTCACGTGACTTCTGTCTTTGCTGAGTTGACATCAGAGATAATCTAAACTATTTACATTGCCTCCTTCCCAAACTCTCTGGGTTGCATCTCTTTTCCCCGCCTCTGTTTGTGATAAATTATCCTGTTTATCAGAAGCTCTGTTGTTTCCTCTTTTCCCTGAATCTGCGTGTTTTCAGTAGCTCTAAATATCATATTTCTTGCTGAATCTGCCTCATGTTTTCGCCATCTGAGCTGCAAACCAACTCAAACTTCTTCTCTTTTTTTTTTTTTTTTCTCCAGAGGTGTGCGAGGTTCAGGAGTTGGAGCAGGCCAGCTCAGAGGCGCAGGGACCCGTTCAGTACCAGTGCCTCGACTGCCTGGCTCTGTTCGACTCCCCCGATACCTGGCTGGAGCACCGGCGAACACACAGCAGGAGCAGCACACACAGCAACACACAGGCGTCCAACGTAAGCGAGCCAACACACTCATCCATTCCTGAAAAACAAACCAGCGTCCAAACGGTGACTTGTTCTGTTTATGTTGTAAATACAACCTTCGATCAGCTGCAGCTTGGTAGTGGCGTTTGCCAGAGACATTTCTGCTTAGTCAGCTTCTGAGTTAATGTTCTACTAACCTCATGCAGCCAACAACATCCAGGCGCTTTTAATCATCAATAACCATTTCATTTAAAGGGAAGATAAATTTGAATTTATGTCAAAACCATGAAAATGTAATTTTTTTTTTATTGAAGATGTTTTCTTGCTCATCTCTTTTTCAGGTCACTGTTTTTTCCCCCCCCAAACTTTAAAATGTTACATTATCCCACTCAATGGACATTTAACAGTCGGTTCTAATCAAACATAAAAAGACTGATTTTGTGTTTCTGTTCATGCTGACAGGAGTACGTGCTGCAGGCGGACGGCTCCATCACTCCTCTCAACAACATGCAGAACTTTGTGCTGAGTGAGCAGCAGGCCGGAGAGATCCTGGCACAGGTGTTTTTATCTAAACCTCATTACAAACCCGTGACTGTTTGGCTTGTCTGCCTCTTGTTTTGGGGGAAAACAGGATGCCGTCTTTTAATGAAAGGTTTCATCTAGACCACATGAGTCAAACTCGAGGCCTGAGGGCCAAACCCGGCCCGCCGTAGCGTTTTTATGTGGCCCTCTAAACCCCAGACTGACACTTGGAGCCTTCAAGATGACAGTCGTATGCATAAATATTATTTTATTAATCAAATCAAAACAGTTTTTATATGTCAACTGCCAAATTACAACCCCCAACCCCCTCCATTTTTTTTTTTTTTTTTTTTTTTACAATGGTGGAAATTCACTCAAAAACACTTTTCCCCCAAACTTATGCTAATGCAAAATTGTGAATTGTTTTTGCTAAAATGGTCAAAAACATGGGGTTTAGATGATGCTACCTCCCACCTGCAGATGGCAGTATTTCTTACTTCTATGACTGCTGCCTCATCCTTACTTGATGTCTAGACTGTGATCAATGTGGCAAGTAACAAAAAGTCCCATATACGGTTTATTTAAATATCGCAAAATGTCTTGCTCCGCAAATTTAGTAAATTTGACTGTTCACTTTTTAAATGTACGCACAACTATTTTGTAATAATTCAGGAGTTTGTTAATGTGTTTTATCAATGCATTCTGGTACAACCAGCCCTGCTGTAGACATTCTGTCTGTGTTTCCTGAAAATTTTAATCTTTCGTGGACATCGTTTGAGGTCGTAGATGTTTATCCTGCCAAGTTAAAACGCCAAACTTCTGGACAGTGCGTGAGTTTCTGTCCTCTTACGTTTTCATTTTACCTTGTGCTTCAGGTACTTTCCCACCAGCAGCAGCAGAAGAAGACTCGTAGATCTTCCTCCAAACCTGCTGGCTCCACCCGCTCCTACCTGCTGCCCCCTGTGACCCCGGCTCCTGGTTCCGCCACCATGCACCTGCAGATCCTCACCGCTCAAGCTCTGGCAGACGGCTCCACCGTCCCGAGCCAGCACCGCTCCAAGCAGCCGACGCTGCTGTCTGCTCTGGGTCAGAGTTCCTCAGCGAAGCTGGAGGTCCTGGAGAACGGCATTCAGAGACTGGAGTTCAGGCTGGCGCCTGGCGCTGGCCAGCAGCAGCAGCAATCAGCCGAGCTGGTGGTGATCCACCCTTACGAGTGCTCAGAGTGCGCCCTTCTCTTCCATACTCCAGAGGACTTCCTCCAGCACCAGGGGGAGCACTTCCTGGGCCAGGACAAGGAGACTGGAGGGCCGGGTGTCATGAGTGGCCTCGAGGAGATGCGAGGAAGCGAAGAGGCTCTGCTGAAGTCGCAGGATCTGAGGAGCAGAGCAGCAGAGATGAAGGCGTTGGGTTTGGCCAAACATCTACGCTGTGAGCTCTGCGACCGTGCCTTCACCTCCATCAACCGGCTTGCTGCTCACAAGCGTGTTCACGAGGAGGGAACGCACGAGTGTCCGGAGTGCGGGAAGATCTTCAAGAAAGCGCTGTCGCTGCAGACGCACATAGGCACTCATTCAGGCGTTGCACGGCATCTGTGTGTGGACTGTGGGAATGGCTTCACTACTGAGATGACGCTCATCATGCACAGGTGAATATTTGATTACATTACAGTAATTAAGGTTCCAAGTGTGCGGAGGGGGGAACTGTTCATGGATCCAATTGTTTTCTTATTCTATAAATCTCATTCTGCTGAACTGTGAAAAACACTGGAAACTTCCTAGGGATTTAAATCCAGTACATGCTTTGCTATTCGGATATCACAATTTGCTACTGCTTGGTGGTTCTCTGGCTAAGATTAATGTGTTTTTTTGGGGGGAGAATCCCTGCAGCAGATAAACATTGCTCCTTAAAGTACAGAAGCTTATAATATCGTGTAATATAATTAATAGCCTAAAATGTGCTAATCTCCTCTAGAGCTGAATAGAATAAAGATGGTAAATAAATATTAAAAATGAGACAGCTATTTGCAAACAAAGTTTAATGTTTTCTAGCTGAAAAGTTGGTCGATCATTTCTCAGACATGGAACCAGATTGATAAGTTAAACTCACGTATAAATATATAGTCCCCAATTTGTCAAACAATTGGAGCTGCAATAATTTGGAAAGGCTTATTTAGCAAAAATGACTGACTGAATATGCATTTTGTCTTCATTTTGACCTCTTGCAGAAAGGTACATGTTGCAGATCCATTCCACAGGTGTCAGATCTGCAACAAAACCTTCACCAACATGACGAAATACCTCTACCATCGTCGGACCCACCTCGACCAGGAACCATCAGGAACAGCCACTCACATCTTTGTGGTAGGAACTGGCATGCCCCTCTCCTTCTGACTGCCTTAGCACTCTTAACGTAATGTCACGTAATCTCTGTTCTTCTCTAGGCTTCACCTCCACAAAGAGCATCTGCCTCCGCTCTCGCTATCCTACAGAGAGCAAGAGAGAAGAAGAAACCTCAGATAGATGAAGCGGCAATCAATGAGCAGGCTCCGCTCACAGAAGAAGAGATGGAGCAACTGAGGAATCCACAGTCCGAGTCTCCGAGGACTCTGGATGCTGAAGAAGCGACAGAGAAGAAGGACGACGTCGAAATGGAAGCAGCTCATGAGCACCAGCAGGTCATGACGAAAGATGTCGCAATTCCCGGTTCCGTCGACGAGGCCGCGTCAGGAAACGCCGCCTCGTCGTCAAGCAAAGGGCCGTTTAGTTGTCGTTCGTGTTCGAAGACGTTTCCCTCCCAGCTGCTGCTCGCTCACCACCGCAGCAAGTCCCACACTCCTCAGCGCAGGTTTGTGTGCGGCGTATGCGGGAAGTTCTTCAAGAAGCAGATCCACGCGCAGAACCACATGCGCATACACACGGGCGAGAAGCCCTTCCAGTGTTCAGACTGCGGTAAAACTTTCTCCCTGCTGGCCAATCTGATGCGCCACACACTCATCCACTCTGGAGTTCGCCCGTACCGCTGCGACGTGTGTTACCGCTCCTTCTCCCAGTCGTCCAACCTGCGTCAGCACAGCCTGCTGCACTCCAGCGCGCCGAAGCTTGCCTGCCCCGAATGCCCCGCCACATTTCGCTGGCCCAACAAGCTGGCGGCGCACCGCTTCACTCAACACCCCGGAGCTCCGGCTCCTTTTCCCTGTCCTCAATGTGAAGCGGGCTTCCTGACCAAGAGTCAGCGGGAAAGTCACTGTGCGGAGCAGCACCCGACACTGGTCCAAAACCCGTCGGAACCATCCACGTCAACAACGGTGATCGAATCATCAGGGGATTTAACCAGCGGTGGTAAAGGAGCCTTAGATTGTAATATTTGTGGGAGGAAGCTTAACTCTCCTTCCAACCTGCGGCTTCACAGACTGAGCCACTTCTCCCTGGGCCGAGGACGGCCGCAGCGCAGCGCCGGGAAGCGACCCAAAGCTCACCAGTGTCCCATCTGTTGCAAACTGTTCGTGTCATCCTCTGCGGTTGCGCTCCACCAGCGGGTCCACACCGGCGAGCGGCCGTTCCCCTGCCAGGTGTGCGGGAAGCGCTTCCGTCAGAGCACGCACCTGCGGGAGCACATGCGCGTCCACACGGGCGAGCGGCCGTTTCGCTGCGAAACCTGCGGGAAGGGCTTCATCCAGAGCATGCACCTCACCGAGCACCGCAGGACGCACACGGGCGAGCGGCCGCACGTGTGCCCGCTGTGCAGCAAAGCCTTCAAGACCTTCTCCAACCTGAGGAACCACAAGAAGACCCACGCGAGGCAGCAGAGGCTGGACGAGGAGGCCGCTGCCGCCGCGGAGGCCGGCTCTGCGGTGGCGGTGGTGGATGCCTCCGTGGTGGACCTGGCCAACGGGCAAACCCAGCTCATCCAGATCCAGACCTCAGATCTACAGCAGGTACAGTACCTCTTAAAGTATTCACCGCTGGATGTTTTACTCTTTTTATTTTATTGCTTTTACAAATCAGTCTTTCACTCTGCATTAGCATTTTGTCTGCAGGCCAAATGGCTCCATTTTAGTCTCAACAGACCAAAGAACTTTCTTCCACTGACCATAGTGTCTCTAGTTGAGTGTCTTCTCGCATGGCCACTCGGAGCATTCACACCAGCCATGTTTAGTCCACTTTGATCAAACTCTAGTTTGTTTGCCTAGGGCTGTGAATGTGCATAGACTGGGGGAAACCCTGAATACACTGGACCTCTGTTTACTTTAAAAGGGGTGAATACTTATACAAAGTTAAGCATTTTGTCATATTGTAGAAATCAGTTTTTGCTTTCACATTTAAGGGTTGCTATGACTTTTTTTTCCCCAAGGTTACAACTTTTTATATTAGAAATTATCCAATTTTTTGTAAAAATGTGAAATTAATCTTAAAATTTGACTCTTTTGGTGGTAATTTTCATCTACAATGCCACTAATACTCAGAGCCGGCTCTGGGTTTATTTTACTCACATTAATGTTGCTTTAGAGGGTCATAGTGGTCATTATGAAACCATAACCTTACATAATCTATATTTTCTTAGTTAAATGATAATGAATCCTGTTGGATTACACACAGGACTCATTTCGTCTTCCCTCACCAGGATCATCCATATTAACAGGATAAATTAAGAGTAGGAATCCCAATACTTTACTAATTAACAATAATCCTCTTCACAGACACAAGGCACCCCCACCATCATGTGCAACGAGTTTGGAGAGACGATCGCCATCATCGAGACGAGTGAGGGAGGGGCTCTGCCTCTGGAGCAGGCGCTGGAGATCTATCAGAGAGCTCTGGAGAACGGCCTGGCTGCGGACCCAACGGCGGACGGGCTGCAGCTGCTCTGAGTGAACCAAAACTGGATCCCATTCAACGTTAGTCCCAATACTGGCTGAAAACTATGACTAATTCACTGCTGTGAAGGAAAATGTGATTATTTATCGCAACCAGAAGCTTCTGAACTCGACTATAAGACCAAAGTTTGTCAGGTTTCCTCCTCTTTCCTCATTTGAGGGGATCACTGTTGATACATTTGGAAGTGATGCCAACTAAATTAAAGATATGACGATAAATTTAAATAAGGACCATTGTTTGTGCCTCTGATTACATTTATATTATTTTTATCACTATTTCATTGTAAAATAAATGTTTTTTCTTAATGTTTCTCTGCATTTTTCAACCAGACAGCTGTGTTTTAAAGTATTTGGACATAACTAATGCTTAAATAACCCTATTGTACCACCTTATGTTTTAATCAATTAGGACATTTACCTGTTCTTCCTCCATCTTGCCCTATCTCCAGCTTCTACTCATTTTCCTTTTTCCCCTCAAACTGAAAATCCTGCATAAAATAATAAAGAAACATGCATAGTTAGAAGGATGTAATAATCCTGGCACTGGGATCAATAGGAAGGTCAAATAGGTGTGAAAATTTCCAGATCCAGACTGATGAGTTCATCACATTCATTAGAAAATCCAAATAATTTGCTACCCTTCTGCCAAAGACAGGACAGGGTAGCAATTTGTCGTTAGTATTATAGGTATTACATTATGTTGTACAGGTTTGGTTCAGTATCAGTGGGACTATTTGGATAAAATTAGACACTACTTTGAAATTTAGTAAAACCTAGGCAATAAAAACATTGTGGTTTACAAAGTATTGTTCAGTACAATGGCTTTACCATTCACTCAATATTATGCCTGTAATTTAAGACGTTTCTACAAAACAAAAATATTCTTGAGGGGAAACGTTAAAGAATGAGCTCAGTGATGCACCAAACTAATTTCAGCCCTGTGGTAGTTAAATAACAATGCACTGATTTTATGCAAAATTAGAAGACAATGACTTAAATGTACAAACAAATTTGCAGAAAACATTGCTTTGGTTATAACATACTGTAAGTTGTAGTTGATCATCTGTATTTAAAAAAAAAAAAGTTCACCGTCACATGAACTTAATGTCAACTTCAATGGACATGATTAGTTTCCAAACATGACAAATTCATCTATATTTTAAGTTATTTTAGTATTTAATTGTTAATTAAAGTTATGTCATGTTATAGAAAAGTGGAGTCAAATCCACCAGGGTCGACGACCTGCAGCTTCTGGATGCGTTCAAAGTCCAGTATAACTTAAAGGGTTAATTTCCTTCCTCAACCTGCAGTCAATCTTTACAGCCCATCTAACAACCTGATTTTTTTTTTTTTTGAGCGGAGCAACTCGTAAATGTTGCAGGACACCAGCCACTCAGGTGTGGCGTTTGACACTGCTGCTCTACAAAGGCCGACGATGCGTTTACCAGGGATAAACACTTGTTTTGTGAACTTACACTAGTTGGCCAGTAGGTGGCAGAGTGTGGAATAACATCAGAGCTCAAAGAAGACACTTCTGTGCAAACACACCTTTAGCACCCATCCAGATTCAGACCCTCAATCAGTCAATAATTAAAGATAGAAATTTAAATCTAATTTATACTTATACATTTCTCTCAGGGTAACATAATCAGAATCAAAACAACATTAATAGTCATATTTATTTTATTTTTTTTGCCATTTAATGTTTTTTCTTCAGTAATGATAAAAGTCAACATATGCTCAATGACAGATTGTTTTTCCATATCAATAATGAGTCTACCGACTCTACAGTAATTATTTACAACACAACCAAGTCTTGCACAAAGACACAACCAGTATTATGTCCTACCAGCTCTCTTTGATTTGTTCCCTCCCTTCACTTCCTCCAGTTTTTCTTCCTCCACCCTTCTAGAAAGGAGGTCAGGAGAGAGCAATAAAGTGACAAAAGGAGGAAGGAGGGGAGGACAGAGGTGGAGGAAGGAGAAGTATTAAGTGTTGAGACTATAGAAACCTAGCGAGGATAGTAAGAGGCATACGGGGTCTTCTAAAAACAGACGACTTATTACTGTTGAAATGACATAAAAAAGTCCACGCTGTGTTTGTATTCCTGTTTGAAATGATTAAAAAGAATTGCACCGCAGGTCCTTGCTGAGGTGAGAGGCCAGTCAAGGGAAGACTACAATGGAGGAACTGTACAGGCGTGGAGCAGCATGTCTCACCTGCCTCCAAAACTGTTAAATTAAAAAAAGAAAAAGTTAAACCGAAGAGAAGAAGAAAGTTAACGTCAGCAGAAACTAAAGAAAATTCTGCCAGAGAGAAAAGAAAACACGAATACGGAGAAGAGAATGATTCACTTAAATGATATGAGGAGTAATAACCGTAAGAATAGTACAACAACAAACTGAGTATGACGATGTTAAATACAAAACAAAATATAAAAAGAGAAGTAAATAAACTGCTTGGCAACAGAGGATTAAGGAACTTTTCCGCTCGACCTCTATATCTGAGAGCCAGGATGTGCCCGCCGGTGACTCCCGACTTTTTCCTCCTTAGTTCATGTCAAACGAACGAGAGGCACAGGAATGGTCACTTCCCAACTACTGGCGTGTGTTAACGGGTCAGTCCTGGCTGGCCAGGTATCTGCAGGAATGATGGCACTGCCAGAAAGTCCACGTTTAGTTTCTGATCATCTTCGAGTCACTCCTGGTAAAACCTCCTCTGAAGGCCCACGGGTGAGGAAGTGATCTCTCGAGGTCCGCTGCGAGCGATCGCATCGTTTCCGGCTGCCGAGGGCCCAGCCCCCGAACGTCAGCAGAAACAAACCACAAACTCGGAACAGTTAAGTTTACATACAGGCTGCTCCTCGCGCACTGCCTCCGCTCCTCTAAAATTATTAAAAACGGAACAAATATCAAAACATGGATCATCCTACCTCTTTTAAAATTGCTAACCGTTCGCCGTTTGTCTATCCGAAGCGGGAACCGTTTCATCTTCAAGGCAAATGAGTGCAGCTGTACATGATGGTCCTTCGATCACTGGCATCAATCTTCCTTTGAGGTGGTCGATACAGAGTGCTGATTCAAGTCTGGGAATGAACAGTTTGTGTATGTGGTACTTTCTGTGCCACTTGTTTTTAAAGTGTTTATGTTTTTGGTGTGACAGGGACACAAAAATAAAATAAAATAAAATTTAAATGTCCAAATACTGCAAACAAATCCTAACTGGATACGGATAAGTGTGGAAGAATGTGAGCGGAGAAGTTACTGACTGGTCAACCACTCATCTAGAAGAGTCCTGTGACTCCCGAAGCTCCTCTGGACTCGCATCTGCTCCCTGTTCCACTTCCTCATCCTGCAGGTCTCCACCGCCTTTGCCAGCCCCCTCCCCCGCCTGGGAGCCGGATGGTCCTGGAGCCGACGCAGCCGACTCCGACGGGCCTAAAATGGAGGCGTCAGAGGGCGCCGCTGTCTGCATGATCTTCTGCCGCACCTCCCTGATCTTCAGCTGCAGACACACCTTGGAGGGGAAAATGTCGGAGTATCTCGTCTGGAATGCTGCAGTGGCCTGAGCTGCAAGCAGGAGATCAACGCTCGTCAGGGTTTGAACACTTTTCAAGAGTTTTCAAGGTGAGTTTTCAAACCTTTCCAGCACCAAACTTCAGAGATAAAAACAATACAAATGAACTAAAAAAGAAAAAAAAAGGCTGTATTCTACATTCTACAACAGGGACAAAGTAAACCAAGATATAATAACATTTTATGTTTTGAAATGTCTTTCACACACCCTATATACCCGACTAGTCTAAGAACAAAACATTATTTTAACAAAAATATCCCCCATTTTCAGTTACATTGTTTAACATATAAAATATAAGAAGCCTTTATTCAACTAAACAGATCGATATTAGGCATAATAAATATTACATTGAAACAATCCAACCAAATTGTGTTAAGGTAAATGGCCTTTCTTCTCACATTATGGTAAATACTGACACAAAATGGGGGAGGAAAAAAAACAAAAAAACTTTTTTTTACGTTTTCTGACATTTATCAAATAGAAATCCATTTGGTAATTCTAATAGACTTTAAAAAAAAAACAAGTTTGATTAACTCCAAACATTGAGGAAAAAAATGTCTGTTTTATTATTATGTTGTGAAAACATTTGATTTAGTCAAATGTTATGTTCCACTTCATTACGAAACTGTTCAGTGTGATTATCAAGCACTTTCAAGGACTTTGCACAAAAATGAAGCATTTCCAAACCTTGAAAACATTTAACTAAAAGTCAAGAACTTTCAAGAATTTCAAGCGACCGTTTCAACTCTGGCTTGCAGTTACAAACGAATTCTTTAGATTATTGTCGATATTTGTGTGTAGGCGTACCTGACGGAAAGAAGCCCTGCTCCTGGAACAGCTGCATGACCAGCGCCCTCCTCTGGTCAAGAGTTCGTCGCAGGGACGAATACGGCACCTTTTCAAACTCCAGTTCTGCCAGAATGTCCTCTCCGTCTGTGGCTGGACAACCAACGGACACAGAGATTCAAACCTAAGGAAACTTAGGGCTTAAAGATGAAGGCAGCAGAGCTTTTTAAAAGTCTCCCAAGACAAGTGAGATCTGCTCAGGATTTTATAAGTTGTATTATAAACAACATCTCAAAAATGCAGCTTTAAACAGCCTTTACTCACTGAGTTACCATTTTAAACACTGTAATTAGCTCCTTATATTTTATCTTAGAGCCACCGTCTTAACTTTTGTGCTATATTTTAGGGTTGGAACTAACAGTTATTTTAGTTATCGATTAATCCATCAACAATTTTTTTTACGATTGATCAATAGTTGGATAGCAAAAGTTGATTAATGGAAGATTTACTGATCTTTTAGCTGTTTTTGTTATTTTTAGAGAAGTTGAACCACTCACACTTTGCCACTTGAGTTTTGGATAAAACATATTTACAAAGTCTTTTTATTATAGTTTGATCTTAAATGAAAACTGCCATATTTTTGTACAATTGATGTTCCAAATATGTTGGGGTTTTTTTTTTTCAACAAACTGCCTTTTTTGAGTGTTTATACTCCAGTTAATCTGCTACTAAATTAGTTGACAATTGATTTAATAATGGATTCATCACAATTAATCCGGTTAATCATTTCAACCCTCCAATATTTACGTAGAGTATATGAAATTGTTTTAACTGTGCATCAAAGTGATTAAATGGATAAATAAAATAGTGAAATGAAAATGGGAATAATTAGTGTCCATCTTCCCATAAAGAAATGCGAAGAATGAAAATACAGAAATGAACCCCACAGAGAAGGTTTGCTGGCCAACTAATTCAAATCTGACTCAGCCGTTTTCATAAATATTCTTAACAAGCAGATTCTAGCTGACAGGAATTAGCTCATTAGCTTCCTGTTGACATCTTTTCAACTAAATCTTCGTCTCTTCTTGGTCCAAAGATCTCGTCAGGCTGCTAGCGAACACCTGCATGTCGTCATCTTGTTCTGTGTGTAATCCAGCGGTTTTTATTCCATTTGAGTAAAGAACATTTCCCTCAAGCTTTTACTAACTATATGTTCCCCGAGTTACAAAGCAACACGATGCTGGAGCACGCTTCTGATTCAGAACTGTGTTAAAGGGAAAATTCACTCCCTTTTTAGCATCTTGGTTCAAATCCATTTCAAAACCTAGTGAAGGCAATTTAAGAAAACAGTGATAAAAGTGTTTAGTGTGTGGCACAAGGGAGAAATTTACTGGGTATGATTATCATTAAGCAAATGTTGATTATTTAAAGTGCAGATTGTAATCTGGGATACATTTATTCAGTTTGTAAAAAAAAAGAACAAACAAGCAAAAAATGTATCAGTGCTTTTTTTGGAACCAGATTTAGGTCGAGAATCACATTATAGATTAAAAACCTTTGCTTAGAGGGTTTATGTTTAAGCTCTGAAAATGTAAATAATAATTTTTTCTCATCAAGATGTCGAAAATTATTGGTTCAAACTCCAGATCTTTAAAGACCGCGTTGGAAACTAAACAAGGATAAACTTTAATGTCAAAAAAAGCAAAAAATAACCTAATTAAACACATAAATGAAAAGATTCAGGTGGAGGCTACAAGTATATTTTTTTATTCAGTGCGATAAAATTAATTTAATTTATGTTGCAATAACTAACAACAAAACGTATTCCCGGAAAGTTTCCTGGACAAACCCACTACCTGCTCTGTCGAAGGTGAAGATGTCTCCTTCACATTTGGCAGCACTTTTAGGTGTGTTGGGTTCAGAGCTGCAGCTGGAACGCCGCCGGCTCTTTCTCTTTGGAGAGGCTTGCTCATCAGGTGCAGAGTCCAAATCTGAACGACAGCAGGAAACCTTTTGAGCAAACAAAGCTGAGTAATATTAACGTCCAGTAACACAAATATGAAAATCAGACGGGAGACCTGTTGAGTTCTTCCTCTTGCGACGATAGCTGCCCAGGATGGCGCGAGGTGACGTGGCCAGACTCTGCAGGGTGGGTGACGGCAAAACCTCCTCAGGTCGAAACTCCGGCAGCTCGGCAAACCGCTCCTCGAAATATACCTCTGAGAGAACCCTGCCAGTCCAACAAACGCACACAAATATACAGTATATATACACAGTCCATCAATCGATAACCTGTACGCAGAATATTCACAGAGGTAATGACTCACTTGTCGACAGAGTCGAAGGTTTTCTTTAGTGGAGGTGGGCGGGCTTTGATCTTTTTGGGTGTAGGTCCGTCTTTGTCAGTCTGTGGAGGAGGCAAAGCGGGCTCTGTGGCTGACGGAGGGGGGAGAGGAGAGGAGGGGAGAGTCTCCTTCCACCCACCCTGTGAAAAGGTTCAAAACATACATCTTAAAAACTAACGCAAAGGTGGCCTGGAAGAAAAAAAATCAGGCTGGACAATAAATCGTGCCAAAATTTATTGCAATAAATAACAAAACTGCAACTGGAAGAGATTTTAATTTAGTGTTGGAGTGCCACGCTTTCACCTCTTTGGTTGTTGTGCTTTCCCTGTTCCTTGGGTCAGAGGAGTCCGCGGTGCTGGAACCCTCCAGTGGTCTGTCGGAGGACGGCGGCTCCTCGCTGGGATGTGCTGCCGGAGACCCCGTGTGCCCTGAAGGCTCAGGCTCAAAGGAGAAATGACTGTTGGCTGCTGCTTCTCTCTCCCTCTCCTTCTCTCGCTCTCGTTCTCTCTCCCTCTCTTTGTCTCGTTCTCTGTCTTTCCCTCGGCCTCCTCCGTCGTAGCTGCCAACAGGAATGGTTGCTACCGTTGCTTTTACTTTCTGGGGGAGCCTGACTG